ACTGGCCATTTAGGATAATTTCAGTGGTGAAGGAAGAGCCTTTCCTCAGGGATTCATGAGGAAGCCAATCCTCATCTAGGACCTACATTTTCTCTTCTCTTCCACCCTCGATTTATTTCTGTGTGAAACTGCTCTGTAACCTTCTTACAGAAAGAAGCCACTTTATTTTTTTAATTTTTAAATTTTTTTTTTTAAGGTTTTATTTATTTATTTGAGAGAGAGAACGAGATAGAGCGAGCATGAGAGGGGGGAGGGTCAGAGGGAGAAGCAGACTCCCTGCTAAGCACGGAGCCCGATGCGGGACTCGATCCCAGGACTCCAGGATCATGACCTGAGCCGAAGGCAGTCACTTAACCAACTGAGCCACCCAGGCGCCCAAGAAAGAAGCCACTTTAAACCTGATGCATGGTCATGCACACCCAGGATCCTACCACACTTCCCTTTAGGTGAGTTGTTGTGTCTCTGTGTTCCATTTCTGTATACAAAAACATTCATTGTCACCAGCACTTCTCCTGTGCTTGGGGATTTGTCTTATCCTTGACTGGAGGAGCTGTTGCCACTGTTTGCTGTCCCCGTACTTTGGAGTACAAAGGTGGCTGGTAGAGGTACTGCTGAAGGGTGAATTCCTCAATTTAGTGGCATGGGGACTGTCTTCAATGGGGACACTTTTTTATTTATTAGCCTTTGGTCCTTGCTCATCCATATTAGTTCCCTTTGTATCTCCAGTAATGATGATGGTGTAACATTTACTGAGCCCTTTCTGTGTGTCAGGCAAGATCTAAATGCTTTTTATCAGTGGTTCTCAACTGGGAGTGATTTTGCCTCCCCTTAGAAGACATTTGACAATGTCTGGAGGCATTTTTGGTTGTCACAACTGGGGTAAAGAAGTACTACTGGCATCTAGTGGGCAAAGGCTGAGGTTGCTGCTAAATATCCTGCAATGGATGGGACAGCCCCCACAACAAAGAATCGTCCAGCACGAAATGTCAATAGTATTGTCAAGAAACCCTGGTTTGATATATTATGTCCTATCAGCCTTACAACACCCTAGGAGAGAAAGGTACTATAATTATTACCTCAGTAAGGTGCTAAGAAGTTAGGTAACTTGCCTAAGGTCACATGGCTAGTAAATGATAGTCTGGAGTGAAACCAGGCAGCTTGACTCTGCCTGTGGCACTGATCTCTCTGTCATGCTGCATTTTAGTTACTGTTGGTCTGTGAGTTATTTGAGAACTGGACCCGCGTCTCATTCATCTTTACCCGAAGACTCAGCATCACGCCTTGGCATGCAGAAGGTGCTCAGTAAATGTTGGCTACATAGATGCTGAAGCAGACAAACGGTGACCAGGACCTGTGCGGTAAAATGAATCATGGTGGATGCTGTATCGCATAGATGACTTTATATGTGGCCAGAGTTTCTTACCTGAATTGCTGTATGTCCACTTCTCATTACTGGCCAACACTACAAACTTAGTATTAGAAGGTAGGCACAGGAAGTAATCGTCATCATCCACGATGGTGCCATCCTCTGCCAGGACCAGGGTGACTGGTGTCAGGGACTTATCAATGGCCAGAATGTCACAGGCTGAGAGGAATAAAATATTTGGCAGTTGACAAATATCCATAAGGAAATTACATCTGTCCCTGTACCCACTATATATATGCTCCCAGAGCATAGCAGAATTTCTGGTAGTTAACAGTAACTACGATAACAACTCCAGCTACTAGCACTAATATACCACTTCCCACATGCCTGGTACTAAGTACCTTTTGTATACATTATTCCCCTAAAAATCCTATAAGGTATGTACAATTGTTATTCCCATTTTACAGATGTCAAACCCAAGGCTCAGGGAGGTTAAGTAACTTGTCCAAAGTCACACAGTAAGTGTCAGAGTTGAGATTTAAACCCTGACTCCTGAAAAACTTTCCTCCAGCTGCTCTACCTCCACATTAGAAGGTCCTTGCATCTTGGATGAAAAACAAACCAAAGTCTGATTTGATTCCTTGTGAACAAGCAGTCTTTCATTCATTTACTCAGTGGTCATCTTAAATTCTCCTGTGTCAAATGTTGAAAGAAAGAAAGAAAAGCAAGAAAAGAATAGGACAGAAAAAAGGAAATGCTTTGTGTTCTTTGAAGCATCGTTCTCTGCAGCCTTTCTAACCTATAGGAAGACACAAGAGAAGCAAAAGTTTGTATTGGTAGCCTTCTCATCTTTATTGTCAAAGGGCAAAAGTCTTGTCCAGGGCAGATCTGTACCATCCCATTTAGTGATGACAAAGCCTAAAATGCGAATGGGATTAGAGTGAGCAGCAAAGTAGCCACAAGACTAGGTATATGGTTGGGCAATGTTATCCAGCACCCAAATAGAACAGCAAGCCTTCCAAAGGCTGAGCTCCAGAGAACATAAACACTTACACAAGCTTCTGTGCCAAGTGCATCCAGCCGATGCACTCAAGGGGAACTAAAACTTAAGTACTCTAATGCCAAGGGAAAATATGTGAATGTTGATATGGCAAAAACGATCTCACTAAAGCATTTATAATGTTTTGGCTGCTCCTGAGTCTCTGAAAGATTTCTGTCTGGTATCTTTTGGGTCTTGGTGACTCTGAGAGGAAGCACTGAACCCTGACACCCCCTTTGACTACGCCGGGACCGCTCCGCTCACACTTTAACCAGTAGAACTTCCGTGGATAAACAATTTATTGCTACCGGCTCATAATACTTTTAAGTCATGTAAATATATCATCTGCTTTGAGAGTCCCAACAATCCTGTAAAGCAGGGCTGGAAATATTATACCCATTTTGCCGATGAGAAAACTGAGGGTCGCGGGCTGCTTAAGTGCAAGGTCAAGCAGCTAGTAAGTGTGGGGCCGCGACTCTGAACTCTGGTCACTCACAGCACCTGCTCCTTGTCTGGAACTCCAGAATGGTCGGCTCCCTCTTCGCTGCACAAGTGCCTGAGAGAACTGACGGTGAAAAGGCGCTCCCACCCGGCCGGGGGCTCAGCCGGGGGCGCCGGTATCACCGTACGGAGCCCGGGCGGCTGGGTCTGGTCCAAGGTCAGTGATTTTAGGCGAGACACCTAAGTCGAGTCGGTCTTAATTTGCGTATTGATTCCCGTCTACCTTCCCACCATTAGGAGTCTCACACGAGATAATCGCTATGCCCACGTCGGTTACGTCCGTCCCAAGTCGCTCCTGCTGACCCCACCTTGCCCCTGCCAGACATCCTCACCCGGCCCGGCTCCCCGCAGCCCCGGCCCGGGCCCCCACAGCCTCCGCCCGCGTCCCGTGCCCACCCTTGCTCCTCAGCTGCTCGAGGCAGGAGGCCGCCACGCCATGCTGCTCGCGGCTGTGGTTGCGGCGCAGCAGACACGGCTTCAGAGCCTCGGTCTCAGTCTCGGCCTCCCCAACCACCTCCATCCTCTTCAGGGTGGGACTCCGGGAAATCAGGGAGGCTCAGCGCGGCCCCCTCCCCCCACCCACGGCGTGCCGGGAGATGTAGTTCTCTTTGTGGCAAATCACGCGTGGGACCAAGGCACGCCGGGAGTTGTAGTTCTGGTTGCCGCTAATCACGTATGGCTCCGGGGGCATGCCGGGAGCTGTAGTGTCTGGGTTCGAAGCCGACTTCGTTATGTTGCTCAATACGGCCCAGGGGGGTGTTTTTCTACTTTGTATTTAGGAGTTTCAGTAGCGGGATCAAAATGAGGTCAATAGGGATTTATTTTGCATTATGAAAGACACGCATATACACTCCCTTGGGTTTTTAGAGCACTCTTGTTTACATATATAGATGCATAATATTAACACTTAGATGAAACAGTCTGTCATTGTACTGTATTAATTTGTTTTCCCTCTCCAAACTGAAAAGATCTGTAAGATGTCCCAACCCTCAGGATAATCTGAAGGAAGTCAATTTTAAAAATTGATGAGTGTAGTTTTCAGTCCTGCTGAAAATAACAGAGAAGCATAAGATACTCGCACATTTCCACCAGTTCGATTCCCTGCTTTAGCTGTGCAAATTGGGTTGGGATCCCGGAACAAAATGCTTACATAACTAGATTAAACATTAAGGTCTCAAAGAAATCAGAGGGGAAAGGGAAAATGCGAACAACATCACTGTTTGAGATTGTCCAGATGCTGCTTGGCAATAAATTCATCTTCGTTCTAATACTGCTACCTACCCCCTCTGAAAAAATTTAACATTAAAATAATAAGAAGAAAATCAAAATGGTTCCTCGCTTAAAAGGTGAGGGCATATTATGTAAACGAGAAATAGCCCATATTCATACAGTCTCTTTCATATTTTTTTTATAAGAAAATAAGATATTATCTCATAAGAAAAGGGTAGGCATTTAAAACAGTGTTTGGTAGGGGGAATTGTTACTTGAGGCAACCCTTTTGAATACTCCATGATCAATCAAAACCCAACTGCAATACAAACTGACCGGTAGTTCTAATACATGCAATCATTTCGTGTAATTTTATACTTAGCTTAAAATCTAACAACTCAACTACTGTAAAGTAAGAATGTGGAAGCCTCTCCAAAAAGCCCCGTTCAGTGTCCTCCTAATAGATCTGCAAACCGTTTCAGACTCTTATCTCCAAGATGCTGTAATTGTGTGTGCAGGAGGTGAGTCTTGGATCTTTTTATTTCTAGTGACTACCAAAGTGCCTGGCAAATAGTAGGTACTCAACAAATGGTACTGAACTGAACCATTAATTAATTAATTTCCAAGTTTCTTCCCATTCATTTATTAAAGACTTAGCGAGTCCCTGCCTGTGCCCAAGGCCCCTTGGGGATGGGCAGAGATTTAACTCAATGAGAATAATACACATCTAAAAATGCAAAAAGGACGGACTTAGGATCTTCCTGGCCAGCGGAGACCTAATGGCAATAATGCGAGGTGACCCAGACGTGGGTGTTCGCTCTCCTCCCTGCGTGCCCGCCATCGACCGGCTCCGTTCCGGCTACCTTGGTCTGGGCGGGTGAGCGAGAGCGAGGGCGCTTGGGAGACGCCTCGCCCAGCGGCGATAGATTAGTTAGGCCTCAGAAAGATGGCGTCCTCGGAGCAGGCAGAGCAGCCGAGCCAGGTAAGGGGAGTGGGACTGCTCCGCCGTAGTGGCGGGGACCCTGGCTGGAGGGGGCGCTCGGCGTGCGGCTGGAAGCCGGGCGGGGTCCCTGAGCCTCCGCAGCTGGTGGCCCCGACCTCTTGCCCCCTCCTGGGCCCCGCCCCTCCTCAGGTCCTCGCCGCCCGTCCCCTCCCCCGGTGACCCCTCTTAGACCACATTGCCGAGCCGGGGCTCCGGGGCGCCCACGGGCCCCCACTTTCAGCCTGAGGGCCCCTCGGGCCCCACTTGCGCTTGGCCGGGACGGTGGCAGGACCCTTGAGAAGCCTTCAGCCTTGAGCTGTAAGGGCCCCTGCTTGAGGAGAGAGGGGTGAGAGGCTCGAACGTTCTCAGTTGTCCCCTCCCAGGAGGGCCCTGAGTCCATCAGGGTTCCCACTCTCCCACAGCCTCCGCCTCGCTGAAGTGGCCCCACTGCCAGCCTCTTCGTCACCTTTGCGCTTTCCTGCCAAATTGGAGGGTCGGAAATGTACTCGGATCCTCTCAGTGCGTTGGTAGGAAGGGGTCTCACTTGTAAACAACAGACGCCACCAGGCTTTTGGTTGAGGATCCGTCCTTGCTTCCCAGAGTTTGGTTTTCTCGGCCAGAGGACTCCGCTCTAGCTTTTCATCCAAATCCCATTCCATTAAGGGGACCTTGAGGAGGAGTGGTCTTGCTTGTATGTCTAATGTCAGGAAGCAGTGGATGATAAGGCCTATGAAAGGATTTGAAATTCAAAGGTGGGGTGGGCTGGGGTGAGGTGGATGGGGTAAGCGGTACCTTGCATTTACTGAGGGTGTGCTGTCATGCTGGGGGCAAATTAACGTTAACTATCTCCTTTATGAAAATCAGGCTATTAACTGCCATTTCACAGAAGTGGATGCTAAAGGTCTGTAACATGCCCTAAATCATGTATCTGATTGGGTCTGGATTTAAACCCAGATGTGTGTGGCTAGTTAGCCACACATGCTTAAATTTAGTTAGGATTAGAGAGAGGAAGAAGAAAATGGTTCCAGTCTGGACTTCCATCATTCACCTCTCACCTCCTTGAGACATCTGTAGACTTCATAGCCTACTGGTATTTCACTTCCTTCCTTGGCAGAGGAACACTACTTCAAGTTTCTTACTGTTTTATTCTTCATGATAAGTCTATTACAGGAATAGCACTTAGAGGAGCTGTGTGTTCCCCAGACCAGCTTCTGTTAGCAGAGTGAGTGATTCAGAAAGATATCTGGATTGTAAAATAGGGGAAATAACTAGGACTGATTCTGGCCTTCTCACTGTCAGAAATTCTGGATTGTGGAAGTGTCTCAGAGGACGGGCCCTCCTTTCTTGCCTTACCCCACTTAGCTTGCGGAAATGCTGAGGCTCCTCAGAATCTGGACTTTTCTGAACTGTTATATGTTAGGAATGCCCACAGCCTGGGATTAAAGGTGCCTTCCGTCCCTGATTCTTCTAGGACTTTTAATTTGTCAGTGCTGTGAAGGTTACTAAAAAGCTTGCCACTTGGAGCCATTGTAGTGCCCAAGGATTCCTTTGGTTCTGGAAATTGTCCTCTCTGTACATGTGGAAGGGATCTAAGGTCCTTTGAGGGGGTTTGGCCAGCACTTGTTTGGTTTTCAGCTCTGCTTCTCTTTTGCCCTCCTTTCCAAAGCTGGTAGAGTTGGGATTGCGTCAGAATACGCTGGCAGTTTTGGGAAAATTTGAGCTTTTCATGCCAAATTCTGTCACTGTCTAACAATAAGCTGCAAATGCACACTTATTAAGTGAACCAGCTCTCTTCAGCAGTTGCTTGTCATTTTATTTTCAAATCCTGATCTACTTGGCTTCCCATTTCTCCAGTCAAAGCAGAGTGGAATTGAAAGAACTATTTGGATAATTCCCCGCAAACCTGGTCTGTAAGAATGAACACATTTTTCTTTTGGGGCTGAGTCAGTATTTGTTTCATAGAAGGTCTGTTGGTTGGCCTTGTGGCCTCAGTCTCTCATTTTGAAAGATACAGGGTGATAGCCAACCCTTTCTTCCTTTGAGAGGCAATGTAGAACAGTGGTATGGGCTCCAAAGCCATCCCTATTGGCTTAGATCCTAGCCCCACTACTTAGAGCTGTGTGATCTTGGACAAGGTACTTGACGTCTTTGGCTTTAGTTTCTCCATCTGCACAATAGGAATAATACTAGTGCCTATCTCGTAGGATTTCTCTGCGGATAAGTACATTAACTTATTTTACTTTATTTATTTTAAAGATTTATTCATTTGAAAGAGAGAGAGTGCATGCGTGTGCGCAAGCAGGGGGGGGGCAGAGGGAGAGGGAGAAAGAGTCTCAAGCAGACTCCCTGCTGAGTGTGGAGCCTGATGGGGGCTTGATTCCACGACCCTGAGATCATGATCTGAGCCGAAACCAAGAGTGGAACACTTAACCAATTGAACCACCTAGGCACTCCTAAATTAATTTTATTTATTTATTTATTTTTATTTATTCATTCGAGACACAGAGATACAGCGAGAGAGAGAGAACATGAGCAGGGGGAGCAGCAGAGGCAGGGGGAGAAGCAGGCCCCCCACTGAGCAGGCAGCCCGATACGGGGCTCAGTCCCAGGACCCTGGGATCATGACCTGAGCCAAAGGCAGACGCTTAACCATCTGAGCCACCCAGGCGCCCCTAAATTAACTTAATTTTAGAACAGTGCCTGACATAATGTGTTGTCTGTTATTATTGCATTCATTAAATTCTGGATTTTCACTCACAAATGAGAAATCTTTCTTCAGGCCTTATTATAATGTTTTTTTGGGGGGTATGATTTTTCACATATTGACTACCAGCCCACTAAAGTTGTTCTTTTATTTGTTCTCGAGTAATTTCCTTCCAGTTTAAAGGAAAACCCTGAATGTTGGTGTTTATCTTAGCTGTCCTTTGTGACCTTTAGATATCAGTGACATACTTGCTTTATTCATTATGGTGGTCTTTTTAGTCTTTCTTCGGAATGGTCTGTTGGAGTTAGAAATCACATTTATTGCTTCCTATCCTTGTTCTGTTTTCCCCATGTTACTCTAGTTTGCATGGTTGATCTCTTATGAGAGGCCCTTGTAGTCTGTACGTGGTATGGCTTATAGGAATGGGAGCTATTATTCCTATTTCTGTACTTCTCCACCAGTTATCTTCAATGAAGAGCGGAAGTGTGGTTCAGTCTGATTGTTTAGTGGTTATTCAATATTGACTATATTACAGAACATAGATTTTAAATCTGTTGAGATTCCCTGGATATAGTACATTTGGGATTGAGAAAACACAGAAGCAGGGAAGGGAAAAGAACACAGTGAAGACAGTAAGCAATAGAAGAGTATGGCCTTGTATCCTGACAGACTTTGAACTCCATCACTCACTTGCTATTGGACTTGTCACTCCACCTCTCTGACCCTGTTTTCCCTTTTTAAAATAATAATTACCCAAGGGTTGTTCTGAGGGTTGATGAAATTGTGGACGTAAAGAGCATCTGCTGCACAGTTAGTGTTCAATGAGTGTTCGTTTCCTTCTCCAAGAATCTGTGGGCAGTTTTGGAAGTCTGCTGAACTCTTGAATAACAGTAGTTCAAACGAGATACTTCCCCCCTCAACTTTTTTCTATTTTGAAAAATTTCCAACCTCTAGAAATGTTGAAAAAATAATACAGAGAACTCTTGTAAAACTCTTATAAAAACTTCAAGATACACTGTTTACATTTTGCTGAATTTGCTTTATTTCTGTCTCTTTACATGTATTTTTTTAAAGATTTGAGAGTGAGTTACGGACATCACGGTATTTCATCCTAGGACAGCTAAGATAAACACCAGCATTCAGGGTTTTCCTTTAAGAGTGTCATAAGAGTGAGGTTATTCTCTTATATAACCATAATACCATTATCATACAAGAAATTCAGTATTGATAAAATACTATTTAATAATACAGTCCACATTCATATTCTCCCAATTAAGAAAAATCCAAATCCATTCAAGAAATAGGGATTGCATTGATTTTTGTCTTTAGTATGCTTCAATCTAGAATGATCCCCTAGTCCTTAAATTTTTTCTTTTTCTTTTCTTTTTTTTAACTGAAGTTTAACATATACCCAGAAAGCACACAAATTATGTGTCCAGCCTGGTGAATTTTCAGAGTGAACATACTTGTGTAACCAGTACTTATATTAAGAAATCAAACATTACCAGGACCTCAGAAGCCCCCCTGGTGTCCCTCCTGTCATTGTCCAACCCTCTAACGGTTGCCCCTATCCTAACTTAAAATCCATAGATTAATGTAATAGCTTATTGAGTGACAAAGTCCTTATGGCCAGAAACTTTCCTGTGGAATTCTAATAGGTGTGTTGTGGTCAGTTTAATGAGTTTTGACAAATGTACATACCTGTGTAACCACCACCACAACCAAGATCAAAACGATTTCAGTTTTCCGAAGTGTTCCCTTATGCCTATCCCAGTAAATCCTAGCCTTTGGCCTCAGGAAATCTGAACTGCTTTCTGTTGCTATTGATTATATTTGTCTTCTCTAGAATTAAATATGAATGAATTCATAATGTATGTATTCTTTTGTGTCTCACTTCTTTTGCTCAGAGTAGTGTTTGTGAAACTTACATTGTTGTATCAGTAATTCATTGCTTTCTATTGGTGTGTAATATTCTCTTGTATAGATATACCACAATTTGTTGATCTGTTCACCAGTTTATGGACATTTGGATTCTGTTAATTATATATTGCTGCATAACAGTATTATAACACATTTACACAAATTACCAAAAAGAGCACACATTTTTTTGTTTCAGTTTCTGTGAGTAAGGACACAGTTTAGCTGAGTCTGACAAGGCGAGAAATCAAGGTGTCTGCTGGGGCTGTGATCTCATCTGGGTCTTGACTGGGGAAGGATCTGCTTCCTAGCTCATGTGGCTGTTGGCAGCATTTAGTTCCTTATGGCCTGCAGAATGAGTACCTCAGTTTGTTATTGG